TATAATTAAAGAAGAACAACAAGTAAATTTGACAGACTAAAATAGAGTGAAGCAAAATACTGTAGCTTTGGAAGAATTGAAGGCTATTTAGGGACAATGCATTCAAAAATTAATCTTACAATTATCTTCTATTATTATAGACAAACTGGATTTAAAAGACATTATAGAAGAGGAACAAGATTTACTGGACAAGATTGAGACTGAGGCTGATTTGAATGTAAAAATAAGCAATAAAATGATATAGAAAAAGATGTTACTTTGGATATAAAAATGAAACTGGTTGATGTCCTAATAATTAAAAAGGATATACAAATAACAAACTAGAAGAGTTAGTTGGATAACTTTATAATTTGGGATTTACAAAAAAAGACTTGCCAAAGTTTTGAAGGATTTTCTGAAAAAGAAAAAGAAATCTAGGACATTATTTATGGGGATTAAAGATCAAGATTGTTAAAAGCAAAGGGAAAGAATATAAAGTTTGCTTATTTGATCAAGGTTAAAATATATCTATTGTTATTTCTGGTAATCTTTAATGGACTTTTGCTGACCAGAATCAACATGAAGTTTAAAGAAGTAGTTTATAGATAAGAGATGAGATATGGGAAGAAGAGATATTTTGATGCATGCTCAATGGTAATAAGTTACTGAACTTATTGTTGCTTGTTAAAAGGGGAACTCATTTCTTTGTATATTTCTTTTAGTTTTCTTTATTATATTTCTATTGTTCCTTCTTTTCTATTTTTTTATATTCTTTTCTGCACTTTCTACCTGTTCTTTTCATTTGTTAATAGTTTTAGTTGGCATTACTTTTTATCACTGTAAGTATAAACTTTAATAATATTACTATTATTCAAAGAAGACTTACTCTCACAAGCTGTTAAGAGTGAAGCAAGATTATCTGCAAAGCAACCTGAATTAGAAAGGCAACCAGCAAGCTTTCAGCCCCATACTTGATTAACTTCCTTTATTTAAAGGAAAATCAATGGGATACATTCCAATTAAGTTCACTTATAGCACTGGTGCTATTTAACTATTAGGTGAGCATCACAAGATGCTTTCTCCATGTTTCGTTCTATTTGTATTTGAATAGAATGTTTCTCAAATCCAATTTATACCAGACATAAACAAGCAACATTCATCAATTTAAAACATAAGCCACTTCACTTTGAATTGATTTAAAGGCCACTTATCTGAGTGGCAGCAAAGTCTAAAGCTTAGTTCAATACATTGAGTATCCATATATGCTATATGAATATATATATGTATATTCAAATCGTCAAACTATATCTGTTTTTGTTTGTCGTTTTCAAGATTACTATGTGAGGGGATTAAATACACCAAATTTCAGATAAGAAGATGCTATAGTTTGTTCAAAGTTTTATTGATAGAAATGAGGAGAAAGTAGGAAAAGTAGAACTTGCTTTGAATTTCAAATCAATTTCATCTCTAAGATTCAGATTTTACTTCAGTCTAGTTACTTGAGGTTTTTTTTAAAAAAAATAGGGTGCAAACATTTCCCTTTTATTTCTTGTAAACAAATATAATGAAGCAATAAATGGCTCCAAAGTCATGGAAAGTGGCAGAGACTAAATACATAGGACAAATGAATATGGATCAAACAGCTGGTAAAACAGAAGGATTTTGTTGTTGTTGTTGTTAAAATGGATATGCTGCCAACTCTTGGTGACTTACCAAGTACAGTTTTTTAACCAAGGTCAAATCAGCAATTAAGACACAATAAGTAAATAAATAAACTTCCCATGCCAATGTCATTCCCCATATGCTCTTGTAACTTCTGGAAGAACATCACAAGGAGGGTAGCCTAATTTTTTTCCCCATCGAATTGTTGTTTAATTCTTGGAGAATGCATGAGAAGTCGATGCAGTTTTCTTCTCAACGGTTTTCAGAAGTGGTTTGCCATTGCCTTCTCCCGAAGGCTCAGAGAGAGTAACCTCGCCCAGCTGGTTTTGTGCCTAAAATGGGACTAGAATTCACAGTCTCCTGGTTTCTAGCCTGATACCTTAATCACTAAACCAAACCAGAAGGAGGTATTTTGCATTTTTAAGAGGGGGAAAAAACCCTCAAAGCTACATAGCAATAGCACTTAGACTTATATATCACTTCATAGTGCATTACAGCCCACTCCAAGTGTTTTACACAGTCAGCATATTGCCCCCAACAATCTGGGTCCTCATTTTTACCAACCTTGGAAGGATGGAAGACTGAGTCAACCTTGAGCTGGTGAGAATCAAACTGCTGGCAGTCGGCACCATTAGCCTGCAATACTGCATTCTAACCACTGCACCACCACGGCTCTACAACCTCTTATGTCCAATAACTTTCCCTGTCTGTCTGTCTGTCTGTCTGTCTGTCTGTCTGTCTATCTATCTATCTATCTATCTATCTGCAGCTTTTTTTGATATATGATAGTCTTGGAAATCTTTTTTAATTCTTTATGACTCCATAAAATTGCATTACTTATTTTATTATTCAGCCAAATCAAATTCTTAGTCTTCTTTCAAGAAAATTTTCTTCCTAAGGCAGCTTACAAAGACACTGTTTTCCCGTGTCTTGCCTCAAAACTCCTTCACAAAAGAGGACCAACCTCAGAGCCCAACCCAGAGTTTCTAGGCCCTAACAACCCTGAATGGTTGTTACACGTCACATGATCCACAATTACATGCTACACGGCACCACCTTTGGTCCCAGTGCTTTTGTGATACTTCGGATTTGAAAGACAAAAAGTGCTTTAGAACCTGCCAAGCTGCTCCCATAGCCCATCTGCAATTCCTTAAAGTAGCTGCATTTTTTTCTGGACTCACACATCTTCCTTCCCTGGCTGAATCACAAGTCTAGGAAAAAGATGTGTTTTGATTTAAGGGGTTGCAGACAGTCGCTATGAACGCATGCAGACGCACGCACGCACCCGCACGCATGCAAACACACACACGCCAGGCACTCCAGAGCACCTATTTTGTCTTTGAATCTGAAATGCTGCACAGCCATAGAGTATAGCAAAATGAACTTCCAGCCTCAAGGACATTGTCAAGAGAACCAAGTGTCCCTTGAGAATACAATAGTTGTGCGTGCATTCTTGATGTCAGTTTTCCTCAGCTCGGTGCTCTGATGGAACTTTTGGATGAAAACTTCCATAATACTGCCTGGGGAGGATGATAATTATAGTCAAATACACCAGAGACGAATTTCTCTAAAAGATAAAGCCCCCAATATTTCTCTGTTGTCTTATAAGTCTGTACTCTGCTCCTACACACACACCAAACACCTCCCCCTCCCCCATGATTGGATAATGAACCAACTTTGACATGGTTGATTAATGCCACCAGCACATAGAAAGAATAGAGGAATGAGTTCAAGTCCAAGTAGAGCCATCTTGTTGGATGTCACCAAGACCAAGACCTCCATCTAGGATAGTTAATATTGCAGATGCTTGCCAGAAATTGGGTTAACAGCCACACAAAATACAGAAAAATAGCAATAGATGAAATGGTATCCAAAATTTTGCCTATTAAATACTTGTAAGCCAAGCTACTATTAAAGGTATTGGAATATTTCCCAAAAAAAGAGAAAGTTGGCAACTACATCTTGCCTCTTATTTTTTAATCAGAATCTGGACAGAATTCAGACAACAGAAAGGTCACGATCTAAGCTGAAATCCATTTATCTTATAAGTGCTACCAGCTGTATGTTAGCAAGCTGTTTTCTCTCTCAAACAATATAAATAAGATGATGCTGGATATAATTAGATGTTCATCCCCTAAAGGAGAACTTACTTCAGCAAAGCAGTTAGACTTTAAAATATAGTATTTAAGAGACATAGTTCGACTTTTCTTGCTATGGTCTGGAGTGAAATACTGAATTAGAGATAGACGATAGATGGTTGATAGGATAGATAGATAGATAGATAGATAGATAGATAGATAGATAGATAGATAGATAGATAGATGATAGATGGATAGATGGATAGATGGATAGATGGATGGATGGATGGATAGGTAGGTAGGTAGGTAGGTAGGTAGGTAGGTAGGTAGGTGGATGGATGATATAGAATAATAAATATCTCCAGATGAAGAACTCTTAAAATAAGCACCTTGTTAGGTATTTACCCTGAAAATCACAATGACCCTTCTATCATTCAGATTATCCTATTAAAATGAGCTTTCCTTGCCCTGGAGCTCATTTCCAAAGTGTTGGACTACAGATCCTATCATTCCCATCGCCCCTGTGTGGCTGGGCTGATGGGAGTGCATTCAGAGTTAAGGAAGTTGGCATAGATACGAGAAGCGGAGCATCATAAGTGAGACACATTTTCTCAAAAATTTCTCCCAAAATTCTGAGCACATTTAATTCCCAGCAATGGGATGGTAGTTTTGAATACCATCTCTTTTTGAAAACCCATCTAGGTCTCCAGATGCTCTCCTAACCAGAAGATGGCTAAGATCCTATGAAGAAAGGAAGCATGCAGGGGATAGCATTAGGTCACTGTTTTTGATGTAGGTCACTATTTTTCAATGCGCTGAAAAGCTTCCAGAGGGCGATCGAGACTTTCATGTTGATAATTAGTGATTTGTCACAGCGGTTATATGCCAGTTCAGGGTGAATCTGCTTCTCCACTCTTTATACAAGAGGCTCACTGGTTCATCACACTTGGCATCATGTAAGGGAACGTTTCCTTATTTGATTTCACAATTAACATAGCAAATTAGGTGTGATTTGCTGCTGTCCTTTTTAAATGCTGAAAATGCAAACTTTCCCATGGGGAAATGATAATATAAAAGAGAGAGAAAGAGGAGGGGAGAGGAGGAGAGAGAGAGAGAAAAAAAACAGGAAGGAAGGAAGGAAGGAAGGAGAAAGAAAGAGAGAGACAGAGAGAGAGAGAGAGAGAGAGAGAGAGAGAGAGAAAGAAAGAAAGAAAGAAAGAAAGAAAGAAAGAAAGAAAGAAAGAAAGAAAGAAAGAAAGAAAGAAAGAGAAACAGACTTACCAGCCCATCACAATTGCTGATCGCAACAGAAGCATTAGGCAAGTCCGTGATATGCCCCACATAGAGGCAATCCCCATGAAGCGGTTCAGTGTAAGTGATGTTTGAATCCTCCTGCCATTCGACAGTTGCTCCAGGAGCCACCAGCCGGGAATTTGGTCTTAAACTGAAGTGGAATTCTTGTCCAAAAACAGTGACATTGTAAAAAATTTCCTTGCCTGCAGCATCCTGAGGAAGATCCCTGGTGTCTCTTGGGAAACGCCTCTTTGATGCTCCCGACACGACTTTGGAGACGAACCTGCCTTTTGAGTCTGTGCTAGTTGGGACGACCAGCCTGTATTCCTCTAGATTTCCCAAAATAGAATCTAGAGAGAGAGAAAACCATGAGTAATAAGACTCGGGCTGAACACCTCGCTCCTAAGACTACCACTGGCCCCGGTCATCTATTTCATTGGTCCGTGAGGTTAAGGAAGGGAAAATACTAAGGCAAATGCATCATGCCTTATTTTTCCAGTTGTTTTATTAAGAAAGCCCAGTTGGCAGGCACGGCAAGTATTTAGGGATGAAGAGGGGTCAAGATGCTGCCCCCTCTGCAACTGAGCAAGAGGGACTAGAAACATCCCACAGCTGAATAAATCCATTTTAAGCGATGAAGCTTCTGAAAGCCACCAACTTGAGGATATTGGGTGTGGGGGTGCGTGCGTGGCAAACACCTCGCATCAACTTTCAAACTCTGCCACCAGCCATACTCCTCAAACTTTCGATCATTCCCGAACGTGAAGGATGGGGATGTCGATGGAAAAGTTTTTTGTTTTTTTTAAAGGAAAAAAAAAGAAAAATGAAAAGAGCTGTTGGCTTCGCTTCCTTCCTTCCAGCAACACAGACGGAAGGAAAACTTAGTCCCTGCCAGGTGGTTTTGTTGGACGCAGGCGATTCGACGGGCGTCTCTTGCCCCGCGCGTCCGAGTTCAACCGAGGTCCCAGCTTCCCTAATTTGCAGCTGAAAGGCGCCCCGCCAGCTCAGCAGGACCGAAGAAAGTACACCCACGCACCCACCCCTCCGGAAAACAACGCCACACGTGGCGGCGGGGAGGACGCCTCGGCCCCTTGGACCAAGCGTGGCGCGGAGAAGTCTAGCGGGCAAAAAGTCCTCCGCTCGTGGGTGAAGTTAAGACAGGCAGCCTCAAGGGGAGGCGGGCAAAGAAGGGGCGTCTGGCTAATCCCAGCCGGCCGGCTAGGGGCAATTGAAGCCGAAGGAACCCGGCAGCCCACTTACCTTTCTGCCCGGGACTCTGCGGGGCCCCCGGGGCCAAAAGGAGCATCCAGCAGGCGAGAAGAAGCAAGGCGATCCCGGCCAGAGGAGCCATGGCAGGCGTAGCTCAGCCCGACCCCAGCCTTCAACTTCGGTGCCAGGGGGCTCCGGCCACATTGAAGGCAGCCGGCACCGCCCTCTAGCCCACCACCAGGCAACCTCAGCCCCGCGGCTCCTCGCCCTGGCTCATCCGCTCCTCTCCGGCGCTCAGCCTCGACGAAGGCAGCAGAGACACCAGCAGGCGGCTTGCTGGAAAGCACGGGGCGTGCAAGGAGGGAAGTCCGCCTGATTGACAGAACTGCCGCCGCCGCCGCCGCTGCTGCTGCTGCTGTTGCTGCCGCCGCTGCCTGCGAGCCTGCCACGGCCACGGCCTCGCCTCACCCGGCCCGGCTTGGCTTGGCTTGGCTTGGCGGCGGCTCTCCCTGGAACTCTCGCAGCCTCCTCCTGCTGCCGGCCGTGAGGAAAAACTCTGCAGCCTCCTCCGGTTACGGGACACTTTTCCTCAGCCCAGCTAAGAGGCGGTTCCTGAGGGATTCTGAGCATTTCCCTCCACCCAACGCTCAAAATCCTCCTCTTCTTAGAAAGAGAACCAGAAGGGAAGATCGCACCAGACAGAAGCCCCCCCACCCCTCCAGATCCTTGGTTTGGAATCGGTCGAGGATCTTCTGCAAAAAAAAGATCTCGTACCGTATCTTGAACTCTCCTAACTTAGGAAGGGGAGTGGTCGTCTGATTTTATTCCCCCCCCCCCACACACACACTCCCGAAGTCTAATTAGAGACGGCTTTTGCTTTCTGTGTGTGGTATATCCACGTAGCACTTTCCGATATCATGGTATCCACTCCAGAAAGGTAGAATCGGATCCTTCCGGATCAAAATGTAATTGCTAGATTATACTTAAGCCTCCCCTCTGGCTGCACTAAAAATTCCTGGATTTTTCTCATCTTGGTTATCATAAAATCTAGATGGAAATGTTATCATATCCTAACGACTTTTGCATCCCAGCCCTGTATTTGACTCCACAAAACACAACTTTTTATTAAAAAAAAGAAATTCACTTCCAGCGTGACCCTATTAATTTTTAATATGATATTGTTACATCTAACAATTATATGTAATTCTTAATGGGGGTTAAGGATGGTTAAGGTGGTTAAGGAATTGGACTACGATTGGGAAGATACAGGTTCAAATCCAACCCCCGGGATAGATTCAGGTTCAAATTTATCCCCAGCTCCAGGGATAGTCCGGATGATTTATCTAAATTACTTGACAGTATTGTTGTGAGAGAAATTGGAGGAGGGAATCCTATATATGTATGTGTATTCCACTTTTGCTTCTAAGTAGACAAAAGGTGAGGTATAAATCTTTTAAATAAATCTACCTTGATCCCCCACATTCCAAATGGTTTATACAAATACAATAAAATTATAAAGCACAAGCAGATCATTAAAATGTAAATAACAGCCATTAAAATCTTTTAAGTGGAAAAAGTGACAGACACATGACACTACTGAAGTGCTAGATCTTCTTATCCGTATGAATTGAGATGGGAATTGAGACGGGTAAGAGTTCTGGGAAGAAACCGATTTCCACCAAATGGATGAATGGACTCTTCCAGCATGTCATAAAATTGTTAAATAACATGGGGGGAGAGCATCAAGACTTGCACTGCCCTGTAATGGAGAATCATAGGGCTCAAACACCTCTCGTGCTAATATTAATTGAAAATAGGATAAAGTGGGCATGATGCAGTAGAGTACTTGCAGAGAGTCTGATGATTAAGGCACTAGGCTAGAACTAGTGAACTGTGAGTTCTAGTCCCACCATAAACATGAAAGCTGGCTGGGTGACTTTGGGCCAGTCACTTTCTCTCAGCCCAACCAATTTTACAGGATTATTGTTGTGGGGAAAATGGTAGAAGAAAGGAGCATTAGGTACATTTGCTTCCTTGAGTCATTTATGAAAATAATAAAGGTGGGAAATAAATGAATAAGTAAATACCACGGTTGATGGTATCAAACACTGCTGAGAAATCCAAAAGGACCAGGAGGGTCTCGCTCCTTCCTAGCAGGTTCCAGTGGAAATAATCAACAACAATGACCAATGCAGTTTTCATTCCACATCCTGACCCAGAATTCTAATTACCGATGATCCATTTTCTCCAGAATCCTCAACTGCAATCTAATTACCTTCTCCTGCTGGACAGAGGAACTTTGTGAATGAAAAAGTTTGTTTGGCAGCACAGCCATATCAGTATCAATAACTGAGATAAGTGGGGGAGGGGGAGAAGAAGCCATAATAAATTACAAGCAGAAAGTAAAGGAAAAGGACACAAGAGGGTAGAGAGTTAAGTAGGGTAAGACTTGATCTCTTATATTTCTTACACAACATACATAGAAAAATACTCTGATTTGATAAATAGTACTTTATCAAATAGTACAAATAGTACAATAGTACTTTAGCTTGTAAGTATATAATATTAAATCATATTACTTTACTAGTGTATTGTAGATATCATGGTGTCCGGAATAAGACCTCTTAATGTTTAACTATTGGTTGAATGTGTTTGTATCAGCTCCTCTCCTGACCCACATTCTAACAGCATTAACCATCCCCTGAATCCACTTGCCCACCTCACATCTCACTGCTCACCTGGAAGTTATCCTGAAGATCTGGTGGGTAGTTCAGCTGTAGCCTTGTTGGCTGACTGGAATGGGCAGATGAGGGCTTTAGATCAAATTTCTCCTAGATGGCCTCCTACTATGATCTCTGTTAGCTCTTTGAAGAAAGTCAGGAAATGAAACACCAGGGAGTTACCTAGAACACAGTTGGAGAAAGACAAAGAGGGAATCTAACCAAACATGACCAAAAGCTTATATTATCATTGGTAATTAAATTAGCAAAATAATATCTGATTATCTAGACCCCTTTTAAACTGACTTCAAGCCAAGATATATTTCTCAAACAGCATCAATCATACTATTGGTTTGTTTAATCAATTTATATGGCTGCCCATCTTACAGACGCAATTCTGGACAGCTAACCTTAGAAACAACACATAAACAATATCAACAAATATGTAAAAAAAACTGGAATGGTCACTGGGAACAAATCCAATAAACACTCAACAGCAATGTCAGATCTTTGAGGTAATTATTAAAAAATAATTTTATTAATAATTCAAATTTTAAAACAATGGACATGGTTTGACATCTCTGGTTTCTAACATTTCCATCTAATTCAAATGAATGAATAATATATTCCTTAATCTATATACAAATTTACATATATCTTACTTCATTACATGTCAAGCATACTACATAATTCCTCCTAAACAACTATATCCATATCCAATAAACCTATATCACACTCACAAGTTCAGTATACATTGAGTACAGACAAGACTCTTAAAAGCATTATTCCCCTCATTTAGTTTCACCTTTCAGAAAATTAGGGAAGGTTTCTTCTGAGAAGCTTCCCATGCCCTTTTTCTTCTGTGGACTGAGATACCTTTTGCATGATAGTTGTCTGGTCTGCAATTCTTCCTGCTGTCTCCCAAGGTCATTCCCACATACTATTACAAGTAACAATAACATCTCAAGAGCAATCTAACCTACCAATTCTCAATCCCTGGAGCACATTCAGATCTTCAATGCTTTGCAAAAGGCCATCGAGGCCAGGCCTATTTATTCATTTCATTAAATTTATTCTAGCTGCCCATTCCAACAGTCATTTAACCTCAGAGGGTAAGATGTTCCAGAGGACAGATGCTGCAATATGTTGATGGACTATCAGAGTTCGGAGTTTTGGGACAGAGGTAATATAAATATCTTGGTTCTTCTTGATCTCTCAAAATCTTTCAATTCCATCAAAAATAATATCTTTCTGACCCGTGTGCTGGAATTAGGAGTGGGAGGCATAATGTTGTGGTGATTCTACACCTTTCTCTGCGGTCAGGTGTAGCCAAAATTGACAGGAAGGAAGCGATCAAATCTGAAGCATTCAGCATTCTCTCCCCTTCCGTTTAGCATCTACATGATGCAGTAATCCATCATTTGGGATCAAATAGCAGTGTGTGGATGATACCCAATTGTACATCTCAATCCCACAAACAAGCAAGCAAGCATTGAAAGTAGTGGTGCAATATTTTGGAGTATTAAGAAAAACTGTAAATTTACAAGTCAGTTTAATAACCCAGAGAAGGACAAGGTTTTTTACAAATATCTCTGTAAAGCAAAAGACAAATGTAGAGAAAGAGAGTAGATGGGTAAGAAGAATAACATCAACCAGGAAACAGTTCAGAGATCAGCATGCCTAAAAGTGAAACACATTATAAAGAGCCATAAACATTAAGTGTGAGTAGATAATAATCTCTTTAAGTTAATAAACTCCATCTGCACTCTTATCAGCACTCTTTAAATATCACTTATGGCACCAAGAAGCTTACCATGGATCCATATAAACTGGAATTATCCACCTCCTTTTTATGCAGCTTTCTACTACTAGAAATAATTTTAAAAATTGAATATTGGAAAACTAAAAAGAAAAAAATAAATTATTTGCTATTCTCTTTACCCTTAGTATTTCCAAGCCCTTTGCCCTTTGAATCTCCTGTTTCCCTTTTTATATGAGCAATGCACAACATCAATGAAAAATATGCATGGTTGAGGTGATTCTGCAAAACTTCCAGTTCTAAAGGAACTATGAAAGCACAGTAAGTCCAGCCCTATCGCCCCAGTGAATTTCAGAGGGACATACTCTGTTATAGAGAGTTTTCAAATAGTTTCATATGAAATTAATACAGTATATCCAGACTGTATTCTAGACGATATTTTACAATACCTCAAAGACAACCTGACAGGCAAGGCTTGGTATTCCTATTGCTTCACAAAACCTCTAAGGGGGAGGAAGTAAATAACAATATTTACATCATTATATTACGTTATATATATATTACTCCATCTGGTTTCAGCTTAGAGGGGTCGTCAGTGTTTAAATAATCCTGACCAGTTTCCTTCAACTCTGCAGTTTTCTGTCCTAATATCTATTCTGTACAACTGTTGAGGCTCAGAGAAACACACAGAAATATTCAAACAATAATCATGCCATATCATGGCTATGCTGCAGTGGTAGTTTTCGGTGCTGTTGCTATGCTTTATTGTTCCAGCTCCTTTCAGTACTTAACATATGTCTTATGTACAAATGCCTTCTACAGTTAGATCCTATTCTTTTTTTTAAAATAGAAAACAATCACTTCAAATCACTTGCTTTGCTTGG